TGTTCAAGCACTTCAGCTCCTTCAAAATACAGCTCAGCCAGTGACACAAATTGTTCCTCATCTGCTCTAACGCATGGAAGCGTGTTGCTGGCTGAGTATGAGCATTCCTCTGGAAGTTTGTGGGGCAGGACTTCATTCTCTTAGGGAGAGATTTTTCACACAGCCTAGCTGGGCTCAGCAATCCACGCTGTTGTCAGTGACTCCTGTGTTTCTGATGTCTGTGCTGTTCTGCAAGCTGAGAGCTGCCATGGGGGCTGTTTGGGAACCAAAAGGCTTGGAGTGAAGGCATTTCAAACAACGAGCAATGTAGCGTGTAGCGTTAGCAGCCCTGGTTTTGCTCCCTGGCAGATGCTGCGTTCCTACTGCGGACAGCATTTGTTCTGGCCCTGGCTTCAGTGAGCCAGAACTCTTCTCCACCCTTCCTTATTTTTTATAATTGCTATGGTTTTGCTCTGATAGACTTTGGCAAATGCCTGACTTAGCCTGCTTTGAAGCAGGGCTCATAATAAGGGCATGCATGTTTGTTTGAGAGAAAAAAATGTGTTATGAACTGTGTTACTGCTGCTTCCCTCCTCCTTTCTGTCCAAAAAAATCCAGTTAGGTTGAGCCCTGAGCATTTTCTGGCTGGTGGCTGTGTTGGCTGCTCTATTTGATATTTGAGTAGGAGCTCTTTCCCCATAGTGCAGAATGCTAATGTGCTTTTCTCTGGGACAAAATTGAGAATTATTTCCCCACAGGTTTGCTGAAAATTAAGAGCATCCCAAGGTCTGATGTGCCTGACACTGCAGGTATTCATCTTGAGGTTTCCATCTGCAGTCCTGTAGACTGGGAGATAGAAACTGAGATGCAGCGTGCCTGGACCCTTACCTGTGGGTTAGTGGTCTTGCTCTCGTGCGTTTGGGAAGTTCTATCTGTTCACCAGCCCTCTTCAGCATCACTATGAAAGTTTGAATTTTGCAAACAGCATCAAAAAGACAAAAATGGAAGTTAGTATAGAGGATTCTTAAACAGATCAAGTGTGCCAAGTGCTGAGCACAGTGAGATACCTTGGTGCTAGGAGCTAAATCCCCATGCACCTTGACAGTAATGAAGTAAAGAAAATGCTATGAAAAGTTTCAGACCCTTCCTGGCTGTTGAGGCATGCTTTGGGAAAGCAGCTTTGCAGATGTTGCTGTCTGCATGTTTCATTTGTGAGTACAGAGAAGTAGATGCTGCTGTTAGCACTGAATTTACTGCAGTGGCTGTTCATTGAATTGCTGTAATTTCTGCTGGAAATAGTTGCCCAGGGCATGTGCATGCTCATGAGAATATAGGAATGCTTTGGCAGAAGCAGCAGGGAGGATGGTCATTGCTGGGGGCAGAAAAGAGGTGTCAGTACCTGATTTCAAGCCAGAACCCATGCACTGTGAGGCTAAAGAGGTTTGTTTTTCTGTAGCTTCTGTTTCCTGATAGAAAAGATCAATACAAGGATGAAGATCAGCAGCTGTTGCTGTGAAGGCAATTTGGAGTGGTACTGTTGCAATTTGGCCTTGAATACAGAATTAAGTGAAATATAATTTACTACATTTTCAGCCCACTTTTGTCAGTAAAAGTTTCTCATTTTGTATGACGAAGAGTAAAGCTGCATGAGAAATCCATGTCCAGTCATCTCTCTGTTTAAAGCCCTTTCTTGTCTCTATTTAGCTAGTAATGCTGCTGTGGACTCCAGATGTTTAGAAGCTGCAGACCATAGAAGACAAGCCTGTCTCTGCAACATGGGTCACTCCTTGCCTTTTGTTTAAGTCCCTTATAGGCACTTTGCAGAGGGAAGCTGATGTCAATATCTGCATTCTGCAATGAGGGATGGATGGAAAGAGTATACCTGCAGAACCTGGAGGTGCCAGGAGATGTCACCCCTTCCAGGCCCTGTTGAATTGACCTGTCCAGGAGGAACACAGAAATGACAGCTTGCTGTAGCCATGCTGTGAACATAAGGTGTTTATATACCTAAGCCTTTGGTGGTACAAGCAGTGTCTACTCACTGTGTAGGAAACTTGAGAATTGAAGTCTCTTTCCAGTTTCCCAGAACACGAGGCTTACAGACAACCTGTGTTATTGATTTGACCACCTTCTTGTATTTATTAATTAAGCAATGTGTTACTTAATTGCCAGAAGGACAGAAAGAAGCTGTGATTTGATTATGTGTGCCAGGACTCTCAGTGAGAATGAAGAATTTAAATCGGGGAAGCTGGTGGGTGAGGTTTTTACGCAGCTCTGTCAGCTTCTTGCTGAGCTTTCACAGAATCACAGAAACACCAAGGTTGGAAAAGACCTACAAGATCATCCAGTCCAACCATACACCTATCACCAATAGTTCTCACCAAACCATATCCCTCAACACAAAATCCAGACATTCTTTGAACTCCTCCAAGGTTAGTGACCCATTCCAGTGCCTGACCACTCTTTTAGGGAAGTAGTATTTCCTGACGTCCAGCCTGAATCTCCCCTGACGCAGCTTGAAGCCATTCCCTGTAGTCCTATCACTAATGACACGAGAGAAGAGGCCGACCCCCAGCTCACTACATCCTCCCTTCAGGCAGTTATAGAGAGCAATGAGGTCTCCCCTGAGCCTCCTCTTCTCCAGACTGAACAACCCCAGCTCCTTCAGCCGCTCCTCATTCCTCCGTCTGTTCTGCATTGGAATGGCAGCCTGAGAGGCACAACAGAAGCCTGCAGCTCCTGCATGGTTCATTTCACCAAGTGGCAGACACTGGCACTTCTCTTTCTAAACTTCTGGAGGTTTGTGGTAATACTGACTCTTGCTGTGCACTGGTTCCTAACAGAGTGCAGATGTTCCTTGTCAGCTCTGGCCATCTTTCCAGGCTATAAATACTGCCTTTAGTAAAGAGTGGTGGTGAAACAGGCTGTGATTTATGAATGAGGTTGCACGAGTTGGCCTGGCTTTTGAAGTAGCTTTTGTGTGTGGAAAGCACTATGGGTGTGTTAGCTCACCTGTTTATTCTTTGCTCTTGTTCAATGGTAAGAGATAGGTGTTTGAAACCTATTGTAGCAGGTGTGAACGGATAAGGTGTTGCTTTGGCCACATGTCAGAGGAGTTGGGAATTTGCTTTCTTCACAAGATTGGAGTAGACCAAATTTAGCAAATTTATAAGGAAATTTCAGATGTTGGCCAACCTTTTGTTGAAGAGGGCTAAAGAGATATTCCCCAAATCAACACTGTGAGGATATTCTTTTTTATTTGCTTTCTGGGTGGTTTGTGGGCAGAGTTCTGAAAGCTGTGTTTTCGTCATAAATCCCATGATAGACCACTGAGAATGAAGCCCTTATATTTATGCTTATGAAACACCTTATTATATACACTTAAATAAATGCATATTTGTAAGAAGAGGATGTCTGTTTTCCCCAAATACTCAGTTAAAATTGAAGAAAAGAAAAAAAGAGGGGGGGGGGGGTGGAAAACAGAAGTTGTACTGAAGGTGTGTTTGATTCTTCCATTTGATGTTACTCTGTAGGTAACGCTTCTTCCTCTAGTAGCACTGCATACCTCCCTCAATTAAACCGTATATGAAAAGAGAGGTAAGGCACAAGTGATGGTATGTGTTGAAGGTGGTGTGCAAAATAGCAAATATTTTTGTTCTTAGTTCACACTGCATGAAAATCTCATCACTGGAGGGCTATAAAGAACCTTCCAGTAAACTGGTAGGTAATTGCTGCTGGAGTGTTCAGTTGTGCTGACTGTGGCTTGTCAAGCCTGAAAATTGCAGTGGCATATGAAACTCTGGCATGTCAAAGTGTTGTGTTTAAAATCATCTTTAACTCATTCCACTCATATCTGCCCTGCGCATGGCCTCTGCTGATCACACATTAGCTCCCTGTAAACTAAGACTTAGTGGAAAGAATTTCTGTATAGTACTTTTTTTAAAAAATAGAAATGCTGTCACACACACACAGAACTGAGATTGTGCATAAATTTTCACACAAGTATCTGGGAAAAGCTTTTGCAGACTTTTAAAAAAAAGGTTTTTCCATGTGCAGGGAAATGTATGTGGGGGTACGCTTTCTTATGTAGAAGGTTTTTGCCTCTTTGAGGGGACAAGCAATACACAGCTTAGCCAGAACTTTCCTCTGGCAGCAGAAGTTGGAGGAATCTATAAATGTGTGATTTATATAAGGTGCCCTGGGACTGCTGAACATGCTGAATATCCTGACTCTGAGCAACTGATGAGGGAAATCACTACTGCCATGAGGGAACAGGAGGAAAGCGAGCAGCTCTCTGGGCTGGCCCGGTGGTTTATGTTTCTCTCCAGTTCTCCACACCAAGCTCCTTTCTGCAAGTCCTGCTGCTATCACTGGTGGAGCCTCCTGATGGGATGCCTTCCGTGTGTGGGCTGCATGGATGCTGCTAAGACTTCTGGGGAGGTTATCTGGGGAGTAGCATTGTTTCCAGGACAACTGGGGAAGAATGAGGAAGGGACTTGTGCTGATTCAGCATAGAGCTGCTCAACACCCTAGCTGGTTGGCTGCATTTTCCTGTGAAAAGTAGCTAATGGCTCGCTTATACAGAGGCCTCTTTACACTGTTCTCAAACGCATTGGGTACCTGCTGCTTGCAGATGATTGGATTAAAAAATACTAGTTCAAGAAGTAAGTGAGAAGCCATTATTGTCGGTGCAGTTGTGGGTTGACTGTAGCAGATGGCAGATTTCTGTTCAGTGAGCAGGTTTTGGACACGGCGTATTCAAAAGGTGAGTCTGAAGCACAGTGTGCTTCTAGAGTGGAAAACCCGTATTCGGATCTCCATGTTTAACTGTTATACTCTAATGGCGATTAAATAAATGTCCCTGTTCTACATAACTCCTTCAATTAATTGATACTTGCTCTATCACGTAATATCACTTTTGTACTATTAATTACCTTCTATTCTAAGAGGAATTAAATCCTTCTCAAAGCTGTGTGTTGTCGCCTTACTTTTTTTCTTCCCACATTTTTTGTATCTGATAGGGCTGCTGGACTACAGAATATGGTGTTAGACTCCAGTGCTGCCATGGGGAGCAATAAACTTCAGGAGAAAGATGCTGTTGGAGCCCTTGGCCATGATCTCAGCAATGGCAACAGCAGCAATTTGGAAGCAGCCAGGCACCTAGCTAAACGCCTCTACCATCTGGACAAATTCAAGCGCTCTGATGTGGCAAAGCATTTGGGTAAAAAGTACGTGCTGATGTGAGGACATATGTCCTGTTGTTCATGTTACTGATTTGGGGGAGTTCACTCTTGAATGACTAACTTTTCTTTTTTTCCTTCTTTGTTCAAAGCAATGAATTCAGCAAGCTTGTGGCTGAAGAATACCTTAAGTTTTTTGATTTCACAGGCATGACGCTGGACTTCTCACTCAGGTATATGCCTCTTTGCAAACCTGATGTTCTTGTTCTAATGACTGTGCTGTGTGCTCTGCTGTCCTGACTGAATAGTGGGAGTTTTAGATGGTAAAGAATGGAACTGGCATATTCTGGGATGGAGCATTTCTCTCCTGTTTGGCTTGGCATGCCACCACTGTAGCACTGTTGGAGCAGTGGCATTTCCTGGAGAGGGTGATCTTTGGGTGGACCTGCGTAGATATGATCCTTGATCCTTTTCTCCTTAACAGGGAGAAAAATGACATATCAGTGAACAGGAGGACTGCCAGGTGGAGCTGAGGAACGAAGGTGTTGCTCATGCTGAGCTGCATTGTGCTCACTGACTTTTTCACTGATGCTTGCTCTGCTTGGGTGCAGAGTGCAAAGCAGGGGCCAGGATTTCATGTGGCTCAGCAGCCCTCTTGCTGTGTCCCTCTGAGGCACCTAAAAATATGCAGAATGGCAAAAGCCTCTGTACTGAAAATGCCTATGAGTGTTTGGTTGCTGCCAGAATGGGTGTTTGAAAACCCCTCCTTCAAGTTTTGTTCCTTTTTACACCAGAATTAGGCCTCAGTTTGTTTTCAGGATTTTTTCTTAGGAGGCAGTGTACCAAATTTTTGTAGCAGTGGCCTATTGGCACAGTTGATGGATAGTTAAATGCTGACAGAAAAAGAGGAGGGACTTAAAGTGAGTTTCAATCATCTGACTTGGGTTACTCTAGAGGGTTATTATTTTTCACTAACTGTACAAACCCCAGAAGGCTGTGGGTTTTGTCAGTCTCCTTACAAATAATTTCCAGGAGGTCAGCTGCCAGCAACTGCATCTGAGCCGTGCCTCCGTCTGCAGGGCGAAAAACAGCACTCAAGTCCTGCACACTAACGGCAGTGGGAACACACCTGCAGAAGGGGTTAACAGAGTGCTACAATTCTGCATGCTCCAAGGAGCTGAGCACCAGCCCCCTGCAGGGTGGAGGATGCTGGTTCCTTGTTCTGGGTGTTAGGTGCCCTGAGGCGTGATTCTAAATATACCCGTCTTTTAAATTGTGAAATCCAACACCTAATTATTTTGCAGCACATTTTTAGGCGGTCTCTTCTCCCTGTGGATCTCCGGTTAATATTAATAGTTGTGACCTTCTCTAAAATATGCTCTCTCTGGCATGATACTTAGATGCTCAAAGAACTTGAGCCAAACTGCAGAGGCTGTCAGGCACCGTTAGCGCATAGAACAGTCTGAAGTCAAAGGATCAGCACGAACCCCAGTGGTATGCTACCCCACATATGCAGGAGTGAGAAGTAGCTGTGCCATTACTGCTGGCTTGCTGGTGAGCCGTGGTTTGTTAAAGCATGGTGATGTGTTGGCACACCACAGCCCATAGCTGCAGCCCTGACCCGCATTACCCCTCGACTGTGTGAAGCTGTTGTACGGTTTGTAACACGGTTGACGGACAGTCCAGGATACAATGACAGTCATTCATTGCCCAGCTCTGCTTCCACATGCATGTCACCTTGTGTCACTCATGCATCTTTCTTGTTTATTTAACAAGTGTTCCACCATTTGCCAATCCGAGGGGTCTTTCAGATGGGTAAATGTCCTGAAAACAAGGAGAGGCTTGTAGGTCTCTGTTGACAAGCATGAGCAGGGGCTATTGCTGGAGAGAGCCCGAGCTCTTCCAGCTAGTTGTCAAAAAGTTCCATTAGGGCAAGAAATAGGGTTGGATGAGAAATCCTGTAGAGACTCAATTGTATGTACTTGTGAATTTAGTAATTTGCAATACACTGCATGTGAAATGAAGTTATTACCAGGCAGATCACACTCTGTATGGGTGTGAGATGGATTGTGAGACTGCAAGTATGGTCTGTCTCTGACCTTACATCAAAGAAAAACAATTAATATTATTCTTCCAGGTCAGACAGACTTTCAGTGCTTCAGCAGCATATTCCTCACTTCTCAGATCTGGTGTTTCAGTCCTATGAAATATTTAAAATTTGTCTGTTAGGCACTCATTTTGTGTGCCTTCTTGCTTCAGACCCAAAAAGTCTGTGCTTTCAGGCTTTTCTTAGAAGCATCTTAACAAATGAGTGTAGCCTGATAGCACTGAGGTCATCTCTTGGCTGCAGATGTGGGGATTTGGGCAAATGCAGTAGTTAAAAGAGATGGCTCTGGGGAGCCATCCACAATGAGGCCTTCCAGTAGTTGAAGGGAGCATATAAACAGGAGGGAGAATGGCTTTTTATGAGGGTGGATAGTGATAGGACAAGGGGAATGGTTTTAAACTGAGTCAGGGGAGGTTTAGGTTAGATATTAGGAGGAAGTTTTTCACCCAGAGGGTGGTGACACACTGGAACAGGTTGCCCAAGGAGGTTGTGGATGCTCCATCCCTGGAGGCTTTCAAGACCAGGCTGGATGTGGCTGTGGGCAGCCTGCTCTGGTGGTTGGCGACCATGCCTGTGGCAGGGGGGTTGAAACTTGATGATCATTATGGTCCCTTTCAACCCAGGCCATTCTGTGATTTTATGATGCTTGATGAGATTTGGCTGCAAAAGGCTAGCTTTTCTAGCAGGAGCAATAGTGGAGTGGGAAGAGGCAGATGAAGAAGTCCCTTCTTTTTGCACAGGCTGTGCCCCTGTATGCATCTGCCCTCTGCCCAGGACTCAAAAGCAGTAGCAGGGCAGGTTTTGCTCTTTCTGCTACTGATGCACAACAGGAGAAATTTCTGTCCTCTTTCTCTCGTTTTCTGCAGGGCACATGGCCACACTGCCCTTCTGCAAGGTGACTGTTGGGTCATGGCTGCTGTGTTACATGTCCCACCAGAGTGAGGATTTCACATTCTGTCCCAACTCCAAGTGCCACTTCACCAAGTGCATATGCCTCACTTCACTGCCTGGATTAGTTCCTCTGATTTTGATGGAAATAATGATGGCTGTAAAGTTAAAAGGTGTAGGCAAAAAAAGGGCAGAGAACATCCTGGATGTATGTTGTACATGACCTGTTCCAGTGTCTTACCTGAAGAAATGAAAAACACTGAAAACTAAGAAAAATTAGTTCAGTTATTAAATTTGCTTGTTAGCTGGTGTATTCCATGGTTAAGACCAGTGGTAGTTTAACTCCTAGTTCATGTACTGTGATGTTGGAATTAACTGTGCATGGGTTGATAGTCTTTTCCTTGACAGGCTTCTTGGAGCCAACTGTTGGGCATGTGCTTATGTATTTCTTAAGCTCTATAGCTATATATGCTTCCCCTGTCTGAGGGGGATAGAAGGATTTATGATTTTAATTTCTCCTTTCTATGCAATTCTTTTAGGAGTTTCTTTAAAGCCTTTTCCCTTATTGGAGAAACTCAGGAACGAGAGAGAGTTTTAGTCCACTTTTCCAGCAGATACTATCAGTGTAACCCAAACACCATTTCTTCTAAAGGTAACTTTGCTTTTTACAAGAAGATGTTTAGTCTCCTTCTATCCTCCCCTTGTTTGTATGGTTGCATGTAGGGTGATGTATAACTGTTGTGCCATGCTTTAAAAATTGCCTGTTGTTAGCATGGAAACCCTTCATATTGTCCACACGTAATCATGTGTAAAGATCTTTAGGCATCCTCAGTGTAAATTCTTAGTTGATTTAAGATTTAAGATTTAAGTGCCTGCAGTTCTGTTTTTCGGTCTCACTGGCTCTGAGTGTGTGTGGGTGCCTGCACTCTAGCTACAGTAAATGAGAATGCCACCTTATCTGGAGGTGATGCAGTTCACTTTTCATACTCCAATCCATGCTTGTTTCTTCTCACATACTGATGCTGCACATGCCCATTCTTGCCAGTTACGTAGGTGAATTTTGGGTGCTGTAGACCCTGGCGAGTTTTCATCTTTACTAACATCAGTCAGAGTATTGCCTCCTTGCCAGTGTTTTCAGTCATTTTGGAAACTGATGAGAAAAATAAACAAGCAAGCACACAGATCGAACTCAAAAAAGTTGGCATTCAAAAGGAGGGCACACTGTCAGCTGGCATGGCTCCTGCGTTCAGTCAGCCACACCAGCAGTGGAATGTGACTGTAATTCCAGTGCTGGCTGATCACACACTGAGAAAGCTGAGAAAGGAAGGAGGGTGGAAAAGAAATATGCACAGGCTGAACTGTGCCTCTGGTTCTCTAGTGTAACTAAGGAGAAGCTGCTGCATTTGGAAGTGCTGTCTTGTTTACTTACCCCTTGTTTTGTGGTTAACCCTTGTTACAGTGAGATGGTATTTGCCATTTGCCCTCATTATATCTTTTTAGCTTCGCTGGCTTGCCTGTTAGACAAGAGAATAGGTAGCAGTAAGGCGTGATCTGCTCTTGTGCTATCTCTGTCCTCTTTCTTATGCCTTTCTTATTTTAAGTCAGGACAGGCAGTAAGTAAGAACAAGCATGTCATTTACAGATTAAAACAATGATTTGTGTTTTGATGTGGCTGCCTTACTCTAGTCCAAGTTGCAGAAAGTACATTTCCAGTTCAGAGCCTGAACAAGTGTCTGGATTAAAGTGAGTCCTGTAGACTTTGCATAGAGTCGAAATTTGTTGATGCTGAATTTCCACTGTCAGTAGTTAAGTGGTGCACTGCAGAAATGTGGTGTTTGTTTCTTTCAGTGGAAATCCAGGATTGCATTTGTTTTTCTCTTTTCTCCTTTTCCTTCTTAATCCTCTGGTTATATTTGTGATTTGGAATTGGGAATGCAAGCTGCTGTGGAGAAATGCGCTGACCTGAACAGAGGCACCACAATCTCAGATTCTAGCTGCTTCAGACTTACTATTGTTAGTGATGATAGTAGTACTTCTTTCACTCTGTGCTTTGCTAGAATTCTGTCACATTGGTTGGGTAGTAGGCCCTGTACGAGCATGATAAGAAAACATAGTAGTTGTCTTGAGGGTTGTCTTTTTGTAAAGGCCTTAGGCCTGTTGATCACACAGTCTTACTGACTTTTAAGATATGTATATCTCCGTCCACCATTTCTCTTCTTTTACAACACGGGAATCTGTATGTGATTTGGCTACAAGAGATTTTAATTGCAGCTCACTACAGGATGTCTTTGCTTTATAAGTGATCATTTTTCTCACCTCTGTGAGAGAAGATGACATCTGGTGTTTATAAACAAGAGAACAGATAAGTTTTTTTCGTAGTGTAATAGATGTTTGGAAACTGAATTTAAGCATTTGGAGATTGAATTTAAAAGAAATGCATGGAAAATGAGGAACATGAGAGTGGTGTCTACTTTTGAAAATGTTGATCCTTACTGACATTCCAAGCTGTATGGCAGTGACTCTGGGAGTGCAGTCAGGAATAGTGTGTCTTTTCTGGTGCCTTGTGGAGGACCTGTGATCAGGAGGTCATGCAAGACCTCCTTAGACATTGCTAGAGTACTCACTATCCAGCACGAAGTCTAGGCAGTGAAAATAAATGGCTGAAGTTATTCAGAATTCTCCACTGAACTGAGGAGGGGTCCAGAAGGAGAGAAAAACAAATACAATTGTTACGTTCTATCATACTGTACGGAAAAATAGCTGTTTTCTGTCTTCACTTTCTGTCCTAAACAGATAAAATAAAAAGGAATTAATTCAAGCTATGGTACTGATGTCAGCATGGTTTCCTGTCTAGTTTGCTTCATTTGTGGGTGCTGCAAGATAGTTTTGACATTCATTAAAATGTGAAAGAAAGGTTGCTCTGTTTTGGCAACTGTGGAATTACCTCACTGTTTGTTTATTTATTTGTATTTCTTGATAAGCAGATTACCATTAAAAAAAAAAACAGATTCAATTAGACTGTGGGGCTTGGTTTCATCCATCCTTAAGGGTACAGTCTTGAGTTTGCATGTGACTGGTTATATCTCTCTGCAGATGGAATTCACTGTCTCACGTGTGCCCTGATGCTGCTAAACACTGATCTGCATGGCCACGTGAGTATGAACAGCTTCGTATAGATTCCTGACAACTCTGTGCCTGGAGGTAACAGTCTTCTGGCAACAGAATCCCCTTGCTGATGGGCTGATTCTAAAGTACTCTGAACATCTCTGTTGCAGACAGCAAACAATGAGGTGGTTGTTCTCCCTGAAACTGCTGTAGTACAGGGCAGAACTGTCCAGCATGCCCAGGAGTACACAGGTCTAGGCCTGGTGTTGCACCTGATTTTACCATTATGTGTGAAGAAGCTCCTTGTCATTGAGCTCCTTCTTTTCTTGTCTCATCACCATTCTTTCCTGATGATGGCAGGTGGTTCTGACTGGGGAACTGTTGTTGGGATTGATTTCTCCTTTCCAGTGTGTAAAAATACTTGGAAAAGTGGAAGAAGGAAGAGAAGTGAAGAGAGACTGGGAAAGTCACAAGGGGAAGGTGTTGGTTGTAGGCCTTATGCTGCAGAGGGAAGATCTGGTAGAACCAGAGTTCTGCTCAGCCAGGGTAATTATGAGTGTGCCTGGTGGAGGGGTGTGGATACCCTGAGCTGAAGCCCCGCATTCCCCCAGCAAATGCCTCTCCCCAGTGGCTGCCTGGGGGAAGTAATTTTCTAGCTGAAATTTTCTTAGTCACACTGGAGCAAGGTGCCAGCAGCCCTAGGACATGTCTTTCAGCTCTCATGGTGCTGAAATAGGCTGCTATGCATAGTATTCCTGTGGTGGGAGGTGTTCTCTGTCCTTACACAGCAGGGATGTGGGTTGTGCAGAAGGTGACAGAGGCTTGTCCGTGGGGACAGGGGTAGCCTGGGCTACATGGTGGTGGGTCTGTCTGCAAGGGTTGCTCAGCCCCTGTGGGGCAGAGCTCTCTAGTGGGTGCAGGTAACAAAGCCAAGGCTTCTGTATGCTTCTCCAGGGATTTTGATGCCCGCTTCACATTGATTGAAGATCCCATTGATCTGAAGATAGTAGGAGCAGGAGAGGAAGGGGAGTTGTAAAGAATTTTGTCCCTGGAAGCTGGGCTTACCTTAGCTTAGAAGTGCGTGGGACAGTGAGTGGAATTTGGGGAGCATGCCTCGGTGTAATTCTCAACCTTCTCTGCTTTCCTTGATTACATTGCACTGCCTGCACAGGTATTCTGTTACACAGGGTAGCAAACAGCCTGGCACAACAGGGAGGGAGGACTGAATATTGTGCCTGAGCTGGCAGTGTTGCGTATTGCTCTCTGTGATTCTTTAGTGGGCTTTTTTTAGCCCACTGGAGGGAGAGAGGTGCTCTGGCCCTTCATTGCTGCTGTTGATTTGCAGCTGAAACTGGGATGGTTGAGTGATATACAGTGTAACGTTGGAGACTGTATGGAGCTACATGTATGGAGCTCTAATGTTTGCCAGACTTCTGCATATGTGTTGCTTCTCTCTGTCCCTCTGGGATTTCCTTTAATTTTGGTATTCTTCTGTTTTTCTTTTTCTGCATAGCTGGTAAGTTAGGCATTTCTGACTTGGAATGCAGCTCCTTGCACAAATATACTAATTGCCTGTTTCCTAACAAAGACATAATGCTTCAACCTGACCTGCGCATGATTCTACAAGAGCAGAAAAGTTTGAGCCTGTCTACACTGAGCTTTTTTTGTTGCTGACAATACTAGAAGTAACTGCAAATACTTTTGTTTCATAGTGAGCTCGATTTCTTGTGAGGCCTCCAGTCTGTACCTTCCCTTAACTCTTGTAGACAAACTCTTACTTTTTCCTTTATTTGCCCCTGCTTTACAACACTTCTTTCTCTTCATAAATACAGCATTTTTGCTAGCTATGTCTTGGAGATGCATGCTCGCTTTTCTGCAGGCAGGCCATTATCCAGACTGTAAGAACATGTTAGAGAGGTAACTGAGTTCAGGGTAGCTCTAGACTTCCACACACATGTTTTGGAACCTGCATGGCACTGTGTGGAGACATTAGCTATGGTCCTGAAGCAAAACAGCCATTCATTTGGAGTACTAATTATCTCAATAAGTAAACTGGACCATACTGCAGTTGGGCTTGGTCAGTGTGGAGAATTACAAACTGCTGTGGAGGAAGCAAACAGAAACAGTCTGATATCTGTAACAGGGAAGAAAGAAGGTGTTTGCACGTTTATGAGAACAGCTCCAGCTTGCGCCCAAAAACTGCACTTATGAGCTGTATTCAGCAACCAGAGGGCTAGGGTTGTAGCCCTACTATGTTGTTAAGATCTTTAATGATGTGGGAAGCGCTGTGTGCCCCTCTGGAAGTAGGCGTATTCCTGCATGTCTGCTTTTTGCAGAACTATATGGCCAAAGACTGTGGAATCTCCCTTTGCATTAGATAGGGTTGATAGTCAAGGTTTGGCGAATTCCCAGTTTTCTCTAGGCCTCTGTTATGGAATGGGAGTAGTTGAGCAGCCCAAGCAATCATGTAGCTGTAGCATTGAATAATCTATGTTACTGACTCATCCCTTTCTTAGCTTTTAACTTCTGTCTGCATAAAGCTCTTCCAGAGTAGGCTGTCAATATTTCACATTTTATTGGCAAGGCAGGGCAGAGGGCATAAAGTTGGAAGGCTGCTTCCTCAGGGGAATAGTAAGCAGTCTGTTTTGCATGCAGAAACAAGGCAGGTACCTTGTAATGCACTTACATTAGTCAGAGGGAGCAAGTGCAACAACACTGCTTATTGGGACACAGTACTGCAGGTGGAGGTTTGCAGCTTGGTAGCCTGATAGAGGCTAACTCAGTTGACCTAGTAGATTATGGTTAGTTTTTATTCTGAGCCAGGGCATACCCTGACCATGGAGTAGACTCACCACCTTGTCCTCTCTGGCATCTGTAGAAATACTGTGGTCATCAGAGAATCCTGATTTCCCATTGTTCCTGTTGTGTTTCTTCTTATGCTTTCTTTTTGATATTACCATTTCTGTCTGCACACAAGGCTTCCCACATGCAAGTTTGGGGTTTCTAGCACACGGGGCACTAGGGAGACCTAGCACAGACGCTTTCACTGATGGCTGACTGAAACTGAGATTCAGGTGCAATTTAAGGCAGCCTCAAGCCTCCACGTGAGGTGATTTTGGACCAGCAGGCATTTGCTGAAAGACTGTGGCTCAGCTGGATAATTTCAGACAATGAATGAAGTAGAAAAAGAAAAAAGTATTACCTGGAAATGTCAGAGAATCATAGAACATTCTGAGCTGAAAGAGACCACGGATCATTGTGTCCACACCCGGCTCCGTACAGTGCTGCCCAGGATTCAAATCCTATGTCTGAGAAGTTGTCCAAACACTTACTTGATTTTTGGCAGCTGCGGCCTTGGCTACTGCCGTGGCAGCCTGTTGGTTGCCTACTGCCCTCTGGTGAAGAACCTTTCCTAACACACCCCTGATCCTCCACTGACAGCAGCTCCACCTCAAGTTAATCTCAGCGCTGTGACTCAGAAAGTGGGTGCTTCTGTGTATCTAACTGTTGCAAGGCAGTTGCTACTGGACGATTGGAAGGCTAAGAGAGAGGTCTGGAAAGAGCCTCAGTTTTTTGTTTCTTTGTGCCTCGCAACAGATTCAAGTAAATATTTTCTTTCAGAGACTGAGAGAATCTTTGGAAACATGGGGTGGAAGGCACAATGCGTATACCAGTGAGCTTTAGCACCACCCTGTTCATTACTCTACAGTACTTAGCTTTTTTCTATTCAGATGGGCCCAAATGCACTTTGCTGTTTCCAATTAAGTTCACAAAGAGATGCTTGCCTTTAAGTAATGTTGGCAATGACTTCTTAGTAACATCTGCCTTGGGCTTGATTTAAAGCTGGGAGATGTCATTTATCTGAGATGTTGCATGTTTATGTCGTTTTAGGAAGTAGCATGGCTGTAGTGCTTTGTTTCTCTGTTATCTTTTCCAGAACATTGGGAAAAAGATGACCTGCCAAGAATTCATTGCTAACCTCCAAGGGATGAACGATGGTAAAGACTTCCAAAAAGAACTGTTGAAGGTAAGAAATGAACTGCAGAACGTGGGTCTCAGTATCAGTGAGACAGCTCACACCCTGCTTGTGTTTTCTGAATTGTAAAACAGACTGTATTTCTTCTCCTAAACTATATGCAGTATATACAATGTATATTCTATTGTTTTCCTTCTGTCTTTACTTGAAGGTGACTGAGACTACATGCAGCATGAACAGTCAAGACCTATCTTCAGTGGGGCTAGCTTCAGAGCCATATGTCTTAAAAGCTCAGGTGGCCATGCAGTCTCAGATTGCTGTCTCTTGATTCAATCAGAGAGAAGCAGCCAGTTGGTTCTGACTATTGAATACATAAGGACTAATCCTGAATTGTGTATCTGGAAGGCGAATGGTTTTTCATCAAAGGTGCTTTGGGGTTTTCACGTCAGAGCAGATGTAATTTCAGATTACAATGTGCTGTCTGGTACAGACTGCTTTGCTTCAGATTTTATTCATTAAGTTTATGCCAGTAGTTAAATCTGAAGAACTGGGAAAGAGGCTGAAAAAGGTGGATCTTGTTTCATTGTCGGTAATAATGAGAATGTTTCATTTCTCTTTTTGTGTGATTGTTGGCATGAAACAGCAGTCTGTTTGAATGAGGAGAGGAGTGCATACACCAGAGTTCATAATTTTTTTTTGTAATGGAAATAATAATGAGAGGTTGCTGCATCTGAGGTCTGACCCAAAGCCTATTGAGGTAAATCAAAAGAACTGCTGCCTCTTCTGTGGGCTTTGTAAGGCCTATTGTGAATTGCAGATGAACCTGCGTAACTGTAAGTGGCAGTCTTTGTTTTCTGGTAATTGGTAGTTTCTCCAGTTTCTCCAGCTTTCTGGGGAGGACAAGACCAAGTGCCAGGTCCTGCACTTTGGCCACAACAACCCCAGGCAGCACTGAGGCTTGGGATAGAGTGGAAGACTGTGTGGAAAAAAAGAACCAGGGAGCATTGGTCGATACTTCACTGAACACGAGCCAGTAGTGTGCCCAGGTTGCCAAGAATGCCAATGGCTTCCTGCCTTGTATCAAAAGTAGTGCAGCCAGCAGGAGCATGGAGGTGATCATCCCCCTGTAATCATTACTGGGGGGGGTGAACCTCGAGTACTGTATTCAGTTTTGGACTCCTCACTAAGAGACACACATTGAGGCCTTCATATGTGTTCAGAGAAGGACAGCAAAGCTGTGAGGGGTCTGGAGCTCAAGTCTTATGAGGAGTGGCTGAGGGAGCTGGGATTGTTCAGTCTGGAGAAGAGGAGGCTATGGGGAGATTTTATTGCTCTCTCAACTGCCTGAAGGGAGGTTGTGGTGAGGTGGGGGTGGGCCTCTTTTCCTGCACAGCTGGTGATAGCACTAGAAGGGAATGGCCTCATGTTGTGCCAGGGAAGGTTCAGGATGGATATCAGGAAAAATTTCTTCTCAGAAAGAGTCGTCAGGTGCTGAAATGGGCTGTCCAGGGACATGGCTTAGTCACCATCCGTGGAAGTGTTCAAGAACTGTGTGGGTGTACACTGAGGGACAAGGTATAGAGGGGAAATATTGGTGGTAGGTGTATGGATATCTTGAAGGTCTTTTCCAACCTTGGCAGTTTTGTGTTTCTGTGATTCATTGTAACGAACTGGGAATGTAAACTCAAACCCCTTGTTATTAGTTTTCACATCTTTATTTTTAAGATCTGAACGCAATGCTCATCTGTCAGTAGCATCGCTTGATTTTTTTTCATGGAAGTTCATTTGTTACTCTGTCATAGAGAGACGTGTTAAGATTAATTTTCAAGCTAATTGCAGCCCTTATTGAATAAAAAGATCTCCAGGCTGTGTTTAAATAACCTTCAGAGTGTACTGAGGAGAGATTTCCACTGGTTCTTACCTGCTGTTTATTTTTCTGCTGACAGAAGTACAAAGTTGAGGCTGAATCTTGGTGTTTATTATTGACCTTCAGACTAATGCTGAGACTGGCTGGCTCTTTGCCAGCCCACTGAGAGCAAGAGAATGGGACTCAAGATGTGCTGGAGGCAGTAGGATGGAAGAAACCTGATGCCAGCATCCTGCTTCATTTGAGATGTTCTGCCTTTCTCTGCTTGCTGCCCTAATGCTTTCGGGACAGATGTGGCACCCAGCTGTGGTTTGTCATCTCACTTGTCTGAAGATATTCTAGATGTTCTGCCCCTTGTTCTATTAATGTACTGGTGAAGAGAAGCAGAGTGCATGGCAGTGAACATGCATTTCAATTGCTACATTACTGTGTCCCCAGCAGCTACCCTGACACAAGTTGTGTGATTACAAAGATTTAGCTGAAATTAAATTTGCATTAGCGTCAATAAATTAAATTCACAGAACCCTACTTCAGCACAGTGCTGAAGTGCTTTTGGCTTGCTGGTGTGTTAGCAGGACAGCTAATGACAAGCAACTGAGGCTGCTGGCCGATTCCCTGCAGCTCTTCAAGGTTTCTGTGAGAGAAGGACCATTTCCACAGGGTGGCAGTGTGCCCCTGTGAGAGCGAGATACTGACACCCACGATGTGGTTGGGAAGTAATTGTGCTTTTCTGCCTCTGGTCCTCCTGCATTCCCCTCATGGCTCTGAGATGAGCGTTTCATCACTGTACAAAGTCTGCAGCTTTGCATAGCCAAGCCCCAAAGCAAAGCTGAGCAGTGTTGGAATTGCAAGAACAGGGGAGAGGTCTTAACAAGTGATTTACAAGTGGTATTCATCCAGGACTTGGAAGTGCACTGCAGCTTTTGTGGTGGGTCTGAAACACAAAGTCAGTCAGGGCTGCAAATCGTGCTTGAGATATCCAGAACACTCAGGGCTTGCAGGCAGAAGTCAGGTCAGTTGCTACAATTTCCCTTAGTTCCACTGAGCATAAAGTGTAGCCTTGGGTGCTTGTTTCGTCAGAATGGGAAAAAAGGCTTTCAGTGGGCATGTATGAACATGTGAGGAAATTCAGTTCTTCTTTATACATGATCAGCCTCAGAAAACTTTGGATGTGAGATCTGATTGCACTTTTCTCCCTGCTATTCCCATGAAGGACCCTACCTTTGTTTTATTTTTTATTTTTTATTTTTTCCCAACAACAAGGCCACTGTAGTAAACATCATCAGGCATTGTTGTTCAGACCATAATTCTCAGTGTCATTGACAGTGCTTTGGGAATGGGGATTTTCTTCTGGCTAGCAGGCAAATGAGAAATGCTAATATGGTTTCACTCACTGTGTGTTTTTTTGTCTGTTCATTAACAGTGAAAATGGTTTCACTTTTGTACACCCATCTGCACAATGGCTCATCTCTTTTTCCTTTTTTCTCCCTCCTTCTGTTGGAGCTGAGGTTGCCTTTAGAGCTAGGACCCATAATGGCAAGTATGCCCAACCTCTGATTAACAGTGTGTTTCTCCCTATGAGATCTGCTTGCAGTATTCATATATTCAGTGCTTTGCCAGGCAGACAGATAAATGCACCTTCCATTTTATTCCATTTTAGTTCTGGTTTGACCATCTGTCACACATCCCATTAATCTGCCATCAGCTGCTAGTAAAGACCAGAAGTAGAGACAGTAGCCTGATTTTCATTACGTGCTGTCAGTGCATGTAGACCTGAGTGTTGTAGTTTATACTTATTGCAGAGTTCCTGTATACCTTCAAAGTGGAAGCAACTCCTTGTAAATAAGAAGCAGCATCCCAAGCTGTGATTCATTGAATCACAGGACTATCTTTGTGCGGCTGACCGGTGTTAAAGGTGAATCAAGCCTTTTAAATCCAGGCAGATTAAGGTTATTGAAATGAAATTTTTCAAAGTCAAGAAAACCTTTTGTAACTCCTGTTCTTTGGCTCTGAGCTCTCACACTCAAAGCATACAAATAATTTTATTTTATATCAAGCTGGGTAAGGTGATCCTGAATTACTAGCAGTGTTTTCTTTTCAGCTTTGATCTGTAGCAAAGGTCACTGTGCCATTGTGAGTCTAAGTCTTGGAAGGAGGCTTGTGAGTACAAAGAATTGTGACTACCCTTGTTCTGGCTGGTGCTGCAGTACTCTGGTATGGGTGGGCTCAGTGCTTACCCCTAAGGTAGACTGTGAATGGCTTTCTTAGCAGCATTTACAGATGGAGACAAGTGACAGATTTTACCAAGACCAAGAAACGTAGAGAGACTCAGCCACAGCATTGATCTCTTCAGAGCAGGTGTACCTGAAACCCCAGGTTAGCTACTGCAAATGCCACTGTAGAAAGTGAAAAAGCAGGAGAGATTCTGCACCTCCATTAGTGAGAGTGAGCTGAACACATCAGAAATAGTTACAACAACAACTGCATCAAATATGTGGGCTATTAGCCAGAGGGAATCCATTACCAGATCATTGTTTGTTTATTCCTAAAGAAAGGCAGGCCATGGTTAGTATCCAGCAACTTTGAAGGGAAATGAAGTCACTCTAGGGGAATATCGGGAACCTCAGGAATCTCGTCCCTACGCTGCAAGATTAGCTTACTGCAGCCTAATTCCTCCTTGTGCTCACACCAGCTTTAACCTGATATAGTCATACCATCACCACTGATTGTACTGTTATCTAACTATTGTCTTCCTTCACTTTGTGAGAGTGGCTAATGAAGACAAAATAGTCTAATTTTGGCCATGCTTCATTTCCCACAGGCAGTGTGGCCCTACCTAATGCTGTGCTGGTAAAATGGTGGCCACTGTGTCTTCCTCTTTCTTCTTGTTCCATAAGGGAAGCAATAACAAAGAACTTTCTTATGTGAAGAAAAGTGACCCAATCCTACAGAGTGTGCCAAGAGCCATCTCTGAAGAAATGGATCCCTGCATTTGTTAGGCAGTACTTCGATTGTGTGATGCTTTCCATCGTAGGAAAAATACTTGATTGTTAGGCCATGTACTGAGATCCCACCTGCCTGTGTTGTTCCGCATGTGTCCAAATTCCTTGGCATCTGTAGTGTCTAAGATAACTTGTTTGTGGAGAATCATGGGAGTTCGTTGTGTCACAATTGCATGGGTTGT